CTCCGGTGCCCTGCCATGCACGCTGCGCCCTGGGGAGCCCCACACGATGCATGCTGCCGCCCCCCCAGTCCGGTGCCCTGCCATGCATGCAGCGCCCCACGGTACCCACACCATGCGTGCCAGCCCCCAGACACCCCACCGCAGAGGCAACCCCTCCAGATGCCCCGCCATGCATGCTGTCCTGTTGTGGGTGCCTGCAGCCCTTCAAAGCTTCTGCCCCCTTGCTTCAGCTGGGGCCTGGCTGCTCGTGCACATGGGTGGGAGGGATGGATGCTGGGCGGGGGGCAGGAAAGCAGGTGGGCAGCCTGCAGCTAGCCCCGCTTGGCCAGTGGCATCCTGCAACGTCCTGCCGCCGCAGAGCTCCGCGCCTGCCCAAGCTCCACCAGGGACCTCCTGCCACTGGGAAGCAGGGATGGTGGAGGCAGCCACCGCCGTGACCTTACCTGTGCGGCCAGACGGGCGCGGGGAAGAGGGCGCTTGCTCCCACCGGTGAGTGTTCAGGCGAGCTGGGGTCCCTGCTACATCCTGGGTGGGCACTGCCATTTGGGAAGGGACAGGCCAGATATGCAAGGAACAGGACAAGGGGAGCAGAGGGTGAGTGGGGCACAGGGTCTGGTTGCCATCCCTGCCACACACCGCCCCCCAGGCACAGCACTCTGGGGTCCCCCTCCCTGTCACCCCACACTCCCCAGAGCATAGCCCCAAAATCCACCGGCACTCGCAGGCTGCCCTGCACCTGGGCGGTCAGCTCTGCCCTGCAGTGCCAAACCACATACCACAGAGGAGGTCAAAGCAGAGACGGGGGTACCCACACCCTACTGGGGCAGCAAGTGGTACCTGGGGTCTGTGCCAAGAGATCGGGATGGCCCCTGCACCCACCAGGCCCTGGCATCCGCAGGGCCAGCCCAGCATTGCCTCTGGAGAGGAGGCTGAGGGGGGCCAGTGGCACAGCCCCCACCCAGGGAGCACCCGGGGTGCAGGCAGGCAGCAAACAGGCAGTGCGCTGGCCTGGGGCCAGGATCACTGATGCCCAGGTGAGGGGGCTCAACCTTTCCCCAGCACCCAGGATTGAGCCCCCAGGTGAGGTGAGAGGGGTCAGGTCCTGCAGGCTCTCCTCTGCCCTGCGGCTGTGCCACACTGTAGCCCACCATCCCCCAGCATCTCCCCAGGGTTTCTGCTTTCCCAGGAGCCAGCAGCCCCCTGGGGCTTCTTGGAGGGAGGGGACCTCCCCCTGCAAGGGTGGCTCTGAGTGGGAACCCTGCCCCTGGGGGGCAGAGAGCTGCTTTCTGTTTTGTTCTCCCCCCCCCTCCCCCGTTTCCTCCCAGCACAGCCACGAGGAGTTTTCCCAGCAGTAGGAAGAGGGCAGCTGCCGGCCACCACCATCCCTCAAGGCTGCAGGGAGGACCCAGAGGGTGCTGGGACCCGGCCGGGCCAGCGAGTGCAGCCCCGGGGGGGGGGTTGGGGCCAGCCAGCACACGGCTCCTGGCCTTATTGGGACAAAGAATGCAAAAGGCCAGGGTTTGCTGCCGGCACCAATTCCCTTTCATGGCCCGGCTGCTGCCCAGCCTGGAGCTGGGGGACTGGTAAACAGCTCGCCTGGCACCCTGGTCTCCTGGCACCCAGCTGGGGGAGGCACCGCCACCACATGGCCGGGCAGCAAATGGCCACCAGCTGGGCATGGCCCTTGGCCTGGCCACATCCTGCCCCAGCCTGTGTGGGCTTAAGTCACATCCCCAGGGCTGACACCCTTCCCCGTGCTGCTGGGATGCACGTGCCATGGGGCAGGGGGACAGCCAGGGCCCCCGGGGCAACACTGCCCAGCCAGGGGGGCATGGCCCCAGTGCTCCCTCCCCACGGGGCTGCACTTACCTGCTGCCGGCTCCCCGTGCCTCCCAGCTGGCCCCAGCACCTGGCTGCGCACCCCAACACCGAGCTGCAGGGAGGGAAAGGGCCACAGTGGTCAGCTGCAGGGGGACACATGCATCCCACGCCACTAAGCCGCCTTCACCCACGGGACCCCCAGCCCCTGGTGTAGAGAGTAGTGGCAGCCCTGGCCTGTGCTGCCAGTTCTGTACCTGGCTGCCAGCACTGGGCTGGCCCAGGGGTCGCTGGTCCACCTGGTGGCTTTGCTCCCCACTGGGCTCCTGGGTGGTGGCAGGGCTGCCTGGGCTCCCTTCCTTCCATGTTGCCTGGTGCTGCCCCTTGGGCTGGTCCTGCTCCGGCTCCTTGCCACCATCTTTGGGCTCCAGACTGGGCTCCGGTGCTGGCTGCAGCTCCAGGAGGACAAGGGTCCCCGAGACCACAACTATGGGAGAGAGAAGAGGCTCCGCATGGAGGAAGCGTGCTCCCGCAGCCCCATCAGGCGCCTGGCTCCCCTGTCCGCACCTTTGGGAGGTGCCATGCTGCCCTCTCCACCCTCCCGCCCCCGCCTGCAGCTGGCCCTGGTGCTGGGCCGGCTGCGGCTTTGTCACTGGCATTCATGGGGACTCACCCTGGGCACTGGGTTTCTGGGGGTCTCCTGCTTGCCGGCTGCACAGCTCCTGCATCCCAGCCGGGACCTGTCCCTGCTCCACTGTGCTGTCTCGCTCATGGGCCTGGGGAGAGCAGGGAGTGAAAGCGGGACTAACCCCGCTTCGGTCTCTGACTGGGTCACTCTGTCCCAATCCTGCCACCCAGCCAGGGACGTGCTGCAGGCTGTGGCCTCTTCCCATGCCACCCAGGTCCCTGCCTGCCCGCTGCCAGGGATGTACAGGGGTCACTGCAGGAGGCTGGCAGGGGGACAAGTGTCCCCACACCCTGCTGCCTCCACCAGGCAGGGAAGGGGACACTGTCTACTGAAGGGGGGGCCCAAACCCTGCGTTCCTCTGGGGTTCCTGGCACTCCTCTGCATGGGACTGATGAGCACTAGGGCACGGAGCAAGGAGCTGGCTCTTGGGTCCATGTGTGGCCCCTGCCACAAGTATACCAGCCTTGTCCAGCATGGATGCCAGCAGGTGGGAGGAAAGGACAGCCCCTGCCCAGTGCCCCTCTCCCCTCTTCCCCCAGCCCAGGCACATCAGGGCCCGGTTTTGCATCACCCTGTCCCTGCCTGCAGCACCAGCAGCTCTGCTTGGCAAACGGTCTGGGCGCAGGACAGAGTTCACATTGGAGTGGCAAGGACATGCAGGGGACAAGTGCATCCCTGACACATGCCTGAGCAGGGCCAGGGTGTCCTGGTGTCACCAGCCAGGGCACAGGGTGCCAGTCCCAGCTGTGCCAGTGCTTCCAGGAGCACCACAGGTTCCAGGTGCTGACATGACTCAAGGGCAGGGGGAGGTGGAGAGGGCCTCGTACCCCAGGGGGGAACAGGGGAACCAGGACCCAAATCCAGGCACCACTGCAGCTGCCGTTTAAGGGAAACGGCCTCAGGTATGGAGTAAGCAGCTGGACACAGTGGGATAGCCCCGCTGGCTGCTCGGGTGATGTCCCAGCATGACCAGGACCAGGGCAGCATGCCAGCACATCCGGATGGGGAAGGCAGGCAGTGCTGAAAGGTGGCACAGGACCAAGTCCACCCCACAACCCCAGGGCAGACAGAGGGGAAATCTGGGCTGAACAGAGGCAGACACGGGGATCTAAGCCTCCCCGCTCAGCCATGATTATAACCACCTCTTCTCCCTTCCCCACCCACTTCCCAAAAGGACAACTCCATGTGGTGGCTCTGCAGGGACCTCCTACCGCCATGAGAGCCATAGTCCCCTGCAGGGTCACCACCACTGGGCAGGAAACCCAGCCTTGCACCCATTCCTTCCAGCCCTACCCACCAGCTCATCCTTACAGCCCCCACTATAGCTGGTGGGCACCGGCCTCACTCCAGAGCGAGCCCCGGCCCACCGAGGGCCAGCAGAAACGACCGGCATGGGGAGGGGATGGGGGGATCAAGGTTTCTGTCTGAGCAAGGAGGCTGCCGCAGGCAGGACGAGTGGCTGTCACCTCCAAAGAGCACCATCCCTACAGAGCCGCAGCGGGGAGGGGTGCACCAAGCACACCACAGACCCCTTGCCTGCAGCACTCGTGCCTAGGCTGTGCCCTCAGGGAGAAGCCCAGGGGTGCCCAGGCCTGAGCCCCCAGCCCCAGATCACCGCTGCTGGGGTCACGCTGGCACAGCCCAGCTGCATCCCCCATGTCCCCCAAGACCCCAGCTCCATCCACCCCAGTCCCCGTGGGTGGGTGAGCCTGGTGTACCTGGGGGTTTGTGGCTCAGGCAGGCTGGCACAGGGGCCTGAGGGAAGGGCGAGGAGGTCTCTGGTGCCCCTGTCCCCCCCAGCAGCACCCTATGCACTCACCACTTCGGGCTCCTGGGCAGGGGGCTGCTCTGCAGCCCTGCTGCAGCTGCTCTCCTCTGGCCCAGCCGGCACCAGCTGCTCTGCATCATCCTGCTGGCTGCTCTCCCCGCTCCTAGCTGTGGCCAGGGGCTTGGCGCTGCCCTCACCGTGGCTCTCCCTGCTCCCATCCAGGGCTGGCAGCTCGGTGTCATCCTGCTGGCTGCTCTTCCTGCTCCTAGCCAGGGCTGGCGTTTCATCATCATCCCTCCGGCTGCTTTTCACATCCCCAGGGACAGTGGGGGGCTCACTGCCATCCCTCCGGCTGCTCTGTGCGTTCCCAGCCAGGGTTGCGGCTAGATGGGAGCAAAGGCGGTGTTTAGGAATGACCTGCCCATGTCCCAGGCTCTCTGGGGTAACCATCCTGGGACAACAGGGGTGGTGCCTCACCTTCGATCTCCTCAGCCCGCAGTTTGCGGATGGCAGCTCGGATCAGCTTGCGCTCCTCGTACTCACCCGCTGCCCGCAGCTGCAAGAGGGAAAGACACAGGAGACAGGCAGGGTCACCCCGGCGTACCAGACAGCCCGGGTGCACGGACAGCCCCGGCACATGGTCACTCACCAGTTTTTTCAGCTCTTCCACATCGGTGATGGCTTCGAGCTGCCTGGACAAGGCAGCTAGGGCCGTCTGCTGTTCCTCCTCCAGGTGCCGGGACCTGCACAGGGGCAAGAGTGGCCAGCTGGGATGGATGCTCGAGAGCAAAGCCCCCTCGTGGGCAGCCAGCGAATTCAGGCAATGGGCCACCCCCCACTCAGTGCTGGGCTGCTCCCACCCTCATGCCCTTCCAAATCTGTCCGAGCCACAGTGGGGTCAGGCATCGAAGCCACCATCCCCTGGGACAGAGCCGAGGGGGGGGGGGAGGAGGGACC